GAACACCCTCCTACCATCCTTTTCCAACCAATGGGAACTCTCCCATTACAAGAGTGACATGAGTAACCTGAGTCCTGAAATGGGCCCAGCTAAACAGCATGAGTCCAATTACCATATGAATGTGAATTGCTGGCTGGCAGTCATTAAATCCAAAGGTGCCTATATCAATATTTTTGCTGTGGCTCCTAACATCTTAAAGAGTATTTTCTTTGGAAGTAATGTTTTGTGGTTTTTTTTTTTTTTTTTTTTTGCAGGGGGAGTACCAGGGATTGAACTCAGGGGCACTCAACCCCTGAGCCACATCCCCAGCCCTATTCTGTATTTTATTTAGAGACAGGGTCTGATAGAGTTGCTGAATGCCTTCCCATTGCTGAGACTAGCTTTGAAGTCACAATCCTCCTACCTCAGCCACCTGAGCTGCTGGGATTATAGGTGCGCACCACAGCACCCAGCTGGAAGCTATGTATTTTTAATAAGTATTCCATGTGATTCTGAAGGTAGTGGCAAGTGATTGTAATTTTAGAATATTAATAGGGCCCTCAAGTAAATTTCTGGTACCTATGACTCTCATATCAAAGCAGGAGCTTTGGTCCTTTTGTAAATATGCATCGGTTTGGGGATTCTTCATAATAGTTTACGGAAGCTTTGGAATGATCTGTAACAGACCTGTAGGAGTCAGAACCCTATCCCCCCTTTAAATTTAATCCATCATATTGTAAAGTCAGTAATAGGACTAGTAGTTTTTTTTCCATGTAACAAGATCTCTCTTGTATACATGACAGAAAAAAGAACTACAAAGGCAATATTAGTATATATTAAAACATTTGAATGAGAGGGAGTGGTTATAGTGTGGTAACCAGATTTTTAAAGGACTAGTTAATTACTCTRGTTACTAGCTCAGAGCTGCTAGTCTACAGAATCCCTCCATGGTAAAGCCATCACATTTCTTGCTGTTTACCAAATAAACTGAGACACAGAGCATATATGGAGAGAGTGAGTATGTGTGTGTGTGTATCAGAGTATGCCAGTTCCCCTGGTGTTTTGTGAATACTAGAGGGCTTTGATTCCTTATATTTCCACAAACAACCAACCTGCTAGCTGTCTATTTTCCAGTTTTTCTACTGACTATTCTTACTTCCTTGCAAAATTAAAATGCTAGATTTCTTGCAATAAAAACCTGCCGGGGAATTTTTTCACTCAAGCTGGGAAAAATTAGGTAATGCTGAAAAAAATATAGTGGTTAGAAAATTACCATTTGCATGTGAATCATACTGTATGTGGATCTCAAAGCCTAATCTTTACAGTAAAGATTTACTGATCAGTAAAGTGTCTTGCA